CTGCTTTTTGCAAAATATGCAGAAGATATAGAGAGAACATGAAAGGGAATAAAACAGAATTTTAAGTGAAAAATTCATAATAATAATAAGCACAGAGAGAGCGAGAGAGGGAGAGGAGAGAGATAGAGACAGCATCAAGACCGTAATTAAAATGGCCACGAAAGTTACGAGTGGAATTTAATGCTTTATATCGACCGGTCTGTCGGCGTTTTAGCATGCGTTTTACACTACCCAGATTAATCTTCTTCATGCTGTGCACGACCAAAACTTATATACATGGACCGGATTTCTCTTATAAATAATAATTTTTTTGTTCGATGCCTAAAAAGAACAGCGGCATATTAATGCTCAGGCAAGTTCCCTTTATAGCTGGGAGCCAAGATAGAAAGACGCTCGAACTGGAGCCGACACACACACACACACAGTAAGAGACCGGTTTAACATGGTTCATGTTTCGATTCAATGCGTATTTCTTTCTAGCCAAACACAATTTGCATATATATTAACAATTTAATGAATAAAACTAGTTGTTTGTTGATTGGGCTTCACTTTATTTGGATTCGGTGCATATAAATAATTCACTAACTACCAGATACTAACGGCTGGAAATGATACGGGAAAAAAATCATTCACACTGCATGATTTAAATTAAAGCACTTTTTTGTGAATTAAATTCATTATCATATAGAGCTACTTCCATTTGTTCTAAAAAATTCGATTTTAAAAGAAATGCGACTCCAAAAATATAAGAGATTTTGCAGCATTTTTTTTTTTTGCTGCGTTGATAATCTTTTGTTTATGACCAGTTCACCTCGCGATAAACATATGTCAGTTCACAACAATCGCCTGACCATCCTCAAATATTCTCATCGATAAATCTCAACCCCTCTGGTCCTTTCGTTCAAACTGCAGTCATTTCAACCTTAAGTCAATCATACCAATGCGATAATTTATCAAAAAACATTTTTTTTTGTCATATTATCCAATGGGTTGTTTCTCACAAAACTTCCCCGATTTACTTATTTTTTCACTCCTCATTAACATTGATTACATACATATTGCGCATTTTATTTTTAATCATATAGCAAAAATTGTTGCCTTAAAATGATTTCACTTTAAATGGAAATTGGAATTGCGTTGTTTTGAGAATTCGATGACATAAGCTGGGATAATATTGGCCACTTATCGGCGCTTATACTTATTTATTATTACACTTATTGTAATAATAAAAAAAAATCATAGATAATTGACTTTTTCACTAAAAAAAATTTTTTATTGATATATTGGCGCAGTTTTTTTACTACGATATACAAATGGAACGACCGAACGGTATAAACTTGGGCAAGGTTTTTCGATTTTTTTCTCGCGCAATATTTAAATCATGTTTTTCAAAGAGGTACCAAATCAATGTGTCAATAATTCATTTCTTTACATATTTACTCGCTAAATTGCATTTTTTGCACGTTTTTTCGTATACATACAACGGCTTGGTTTCGATTGCTGGTATCGGAGAGGCTTTAATCTAAATTGGTGCCGGCTCAAGCCAATGAAAAAGATAATATTTGTCATCAATCAAATGGAATTTGTTTTTCGATTTTACCGCACACCGTGGTGTAGGGCACAAGTTTTTTGTATTGATTTTCGCTCATGATATCGCCTAATGACAGACTGTCAATGCAAATTTGTTTGCCTTTTTTTGTAGCGCCTTTTTTGCGTTTTTTTTTGTGTGGTGATCTCTTCTTTTGACACCGTTTTTTGTTCAATTTTGCTTATTTTCTTCCATCTTCGTTTTCCTTCCATTACTACTAACAATAATACCCTTTGTGTGCATCGTTTGATCGAAAAAGTGCCAAACATGGTGCGGAGTCAAGAATTTCTCATCACATTGTGATATGATGTAAACACACTCAACTGTACGTTTATATTTGACAAACTATGTATGTTTGTTGTTTTTTGTTTTTATCTGCTGTTTCGTTTATCATCCATTCCCTCTTTCATTTAAAATTCGCATCAAATTGACAACGCATGGGGTCATCGTTGCAAACATTCAATTTCTAAAATGGAACCGATAGTAAAATTCTAATTTTGTGCTATGCCGTGATAAATACGCTAGTAAAATGGTCACCAAACAAAAACAAAACCGAAATCATTTCATGTTTGGTTAAATTTAGAACGCATTGCGATAAGATTAGTGTGACAACGATGAAATCGAAAGAAGAAAAAAAAATCGCCTTTGTTACCAAAATAAATAATAAATTTTCGAACATATATTAAATCATCGAGAGTCAAGGATGATAAGAGCCTCTGTGCTGATTTCTTTGTTAATTATGAAATGATTATACATACTCTATATTAAAAGTGCATCACTCAATTGTGCTATTAATTTTTTGTTCCGGCTAAAAATAAAAATTGTTCACGCATTCGATGTGTGCTCGAAAAGTAATGTGCTATCTTTAATAGCTGGTTTCATGTATTTTATTGTAATTTAACCTTGTTCACCTCTATAAAATGGCACTCGAACCACTCAGCTATTGTCGTACGACAACAATCGACATGATAATGTGCCAGGTGAACGATCGCGCCACACCACAAATGTTAATAAAATCACAGTTAACCATAATAACGACGACGAAGAAAAAAACGGCTTGATAATTGTTCAAATTGGGCCAGATTTACTAGTTTTATACTGCGAACGATGATGATTTTTAAAAAATCGAAATATTGGGCAATCCTCACACATATATGAAAGTTTTGCGTCGCGTTACTATGTCGCCGATCACGCACTCGACGAATGACGATCTTTCGAAGCGAATGAATGAAACGAGTGATGTCGATATTTTGTTTTGAATGTTTGTTGCCGTGCGCAAAAACACTGACCTATGCCAAAAAAAATTGTATATTCACTCGGTGAACGATTCGATAATATCATGACGCGATTCATGCGTCTTTTTTTATCGCCTTAAGAAACCAGTTTTGCGATGCATACATAAACGGTGCATACTTTATAAGGATGACATTCTTAACAAGGACTTTTATGTCATATTTTATTATCGATTTATGGCACAAAAGAATGCGTGATTTTACGAAAGAATTCTTCATCTTATTTGAATAAAAAAAATTTCGAATCTAATGTAATCTAAATTTAGACCGATTTTTTATCGATTCTGACGCCATTTCATTCATATGCGAATGAGATTCAGATGATTTCCTTCCGATGTTTTTGGCACATCTGAGATTGATTTTTTGTTGGACAAAATCGGTCTTTTTGGGGTCTATGCTTCTGGTTTCTGTGAAAGAATTTGCTGCCAATTGACGCAGTGATCTAGATCGATTGTTTTTTCAACCCAGAAACAATGTACAGACATTGATCGATGAAAAATCGTCGATCATGCCAAAAACGTTTGAATTTTTTTTTGCGGAAAATCCGCTTTTTTATACAAATTTCGGTGAAAGAAGGATATCTCCTTGGAATGCCGGCACAAAAAAATCTCGCTCATTTTAATTGGCATACTTATTTTTCGTCAAAAATATACGACTTTTTCCTGTCTTGTAGCAATGATATGTGGCCGTGATGAATGAAGTTCAAATTGGGTCTTTCAACTTGACGCCGTACATCATGAGAAGGCTAATTATTCTTTGTTTATCAGCGTAACTAGTCTAGAAATATGATGCAATGCGTTCCACTGTTTCGAATCGGGTCACATTTTCAATTTAAAATAATCATCGAGTCACTTTTTTTTAAAAATTCAGATCAATCTAAAAGTATTCATAGAACAGTTACGGACAGATTTTTTTTGTTACGGACACATTTTTCACTTTAGTTTTCCTTATATATGCTCACAAGGTTCGATCGTGTAAAATCATGTAACAAATGAGCTGGTGTCACGACAAACATGCAATTTTTTCATCTCTTTTTGTTTCGTCGTTCCTTGAGACGCTCGACTCAATTGACACAGTAAACTCTGTCATGAAAGATCTCTCTGTCTTTCTCTCGTAAAACGTGTAAATTCATATTCATTGTTTCATATTATTAAACAGTTGGGTTCAATCAGCAATAAAAAAAATTGATGACAGTGGAAAAATACCGAATTCCGTAGTGCCAAACACGCAGACACTCAAAGTCAATGACATTTTCTACGGCGGTCGCTAGTTTTGTAATAATTCGTGTGATTTTGCGTGTAAAGACACGATAGTCGTATCGATTTGTGCATGATTGTTCTGCGCGATGTACCAATTGTTCGTATCGTCGGTTTTCGTCCGTTTTGTCACCGTGATCATATCAGTGGCAATTTTCGGCGTGAGATAGAAGCGAAAAAAAGAGAGAACAACAAAAATGGGCCACGCACGATTTAATAAAAACTAAAACAAGCGCGATTTGATAACACGCGGGTCGTTAATGATTTGTTTTGGATTGGTTGACATGCGACGATAGAGAGAAAAAAAGCACATATGTTTGGCTTTTTTTTTATTTCGTGTGTATGTCACTGAGAGAGTGTGTGCACGCGTTTAATTATCTCGATAATAAAATTGAGTGTCTCTTTTGATGCGCACAGAAATGTCAATGCTAACATATGATTTTTGAAAATGATTTTAAGGACAAGGTCTTTTTTTTCATCGTTTGACACATATTAAACGAACACACGTGTGAGAATTCAGTAAAAAAAAATGAATTTTAGAGAGAACGAAATGTGATTTATGGTTTTTGAGAACGAACATTTATGATTTTTGGTGGATGGACTCGTTTTGTTACAAATGAACTTTGAATGAATTTTGAACTTTAGTCACTTATCGATAAAGTCATTTTCCCACTGCATTTATCACCACCAAAGAAATGACGAAAATTGGGCACGATCAATTCGAATGAAAAGTGACAACTAAACGATGACATTTTGCGTCATAAAAACTATGCCCATCGAGAACTTTCAAACTGATACAGACAATTGAATAAACTAAAACCACCGTCGCTTAACACATATCAATGTTATGGTTATCGTACTTACATGTCTCCGATTGTATGGTGATTGATTAAAAACTGTCTTTCATTTATTTGTCTTTAAAATATATGTCTCTGATAATTTCTTTTGTCCGTGTGTCTTTTTTTTAACTAAAAATGATTTACACCGAACAGTTTTCCACGATTAAAATGTTTTCACTAAATTGTTTTGAACAAAGAGCGAAAACAATCACAAAAAAGAGCACCACGCACAATCAACCAATTCTCTAGTCGTCCGAAAATGTGACGTTTCTCATCGTACGACAGAAAACCACTCTCACAAACCGGCAAGCGAGAGAGAGAGAGCAACGAAGAAAGAGATTAAAATAACAACAACGAAAAAAAAAGTGATTTACAATTAAAACCGAATGTGACTAACTTAAACTTATAGGTTGACAAAAAAAAGATTTAAAACAAACGAAATAAAAATATTCAATTGAAAGTATAATTTAGAGTAGTTCAGAAGTGAGAATCAAAAAAAAAAGAGTTGTATGTGTGCGTCTCATCACTTCAACCATCTAATGTAGACTGATTTGTCGGTGCGATCGGCATCGAGCTCGTTAGCAGTTGAGTGCGTCGCATGAGAAAACCGATACGGGCATGTGTGTGTGCGCGCGCACCGATAAGTGTGTATGCTCATGCTATTGCCGTCGCACCAATGCAGACATCGAACTATACACACAATACGATATGGTTTTGTGCGCGCGTCTCACATTCCATCGGCTCAGTACAGTGAGAGTATTTAAATGAACGAAAGAATGAAAGAAACAACGACGATAGACAGAAGACGAACAAAAAAATCACAATTCAATAGATTATCGAGCCTATGGACTGGCTGTTTGAATACTCACAAATACCAGGAAATTCAGTTGATTTATGTGTAAAAAGGGCCATTTCGCATACATTGAGAAACTAAGAGACGTAGTGGAAAGAAGAAACGACAAAGAGAAATTTGAATTGGTGAACGATGGTATGTGCAATACCAGAGCAGAAAGACCACATACAAAATAACAGAGCAGATAAATGGCGAAGAGACAGACAGAAACGAGAGAGAGAAAGAAAAAAGAGTCAAAGAGAAAGACTGAGAATCCACAGATAGGAAGAGAAACAGAGAAAGGAACCAAAAGTCAAAGAAAATCATCGGCATTTCGGTAGTTAAGTAATAAACTCGGCATATTCCTTCTTGTGTTGGTGCAAACGATAAAATTCGTTTTTGTTTTGCCAAATGTGGTTGTACTTTTGGTCTTGACTAATTTACACACTGATTTGTGTATGTATTTCATATTTTCCTGTGGCGACACATTATCCACTCTATATTACTGTTGCATTTTGGTTTTTCTTTCTTTTTCATTCTTTTCTCGCTATCTTTCACTGTTCGGTTTGCTGTAAAATCTCGTAAATTAGTCTCCGTTGATTGACTTTATTGCATTCAATGAGATAAATGATCGTATGCGGGCACATTCTCTTGCATCTTTCGTTGCATGCCAAATCCAATCGTGTATTGTCGGACGAAATGTATTTTCTTTCTGCTGATCATACATTTCTCTACATTTTACCGCTCTCTCTGCACTCTTTTGAACTGAAAGTACCAGTGTGTAGGATTATGTGGGAGCGTTCATAATCGCCTCGATTCTATCCAGCGACACGTATTAATGCAATGCCAGTCAGTCAAACCGGAAAAATGATTTTTTGTCGACGAAACTGGACGTAATGGGCGAAACCATACACATAAATTCATGTTTTTGTTCTTTTTCGCTCTCTCTTCCTAGTTTTTTACATTACATTTCTACGTTGCTCTGTCACTCTTTCTCTTTCTCTCTCTTTCTTTGTACCTATCTCTGTCTCCGTCGTCAATCTCTGCTTCATTCTGAAAGAGTAATTTCATCAAAGTTCACCAATTGTACATGACAATTTATCCGAATTTAATAGACTAGATCTACCGGTTTAAGACATATATATATATTTATTAGTTTCTCGTTTTTTTCTACTTTGACCTTATATGAATAATTTTATCACAGTTTGAATAAATTCTGTCGATTGCACGCAGCAAATTCTATTATAACCGTATAAAAATGATTTAATGCAGAAAATTCGATCATTTGAAAAAAAAATGGTTTTGCGTGCTCAAATATAAGTGACACCACATCCGTCTTTCTGAACTGTATTTGAGTGTGTTTCTCTTTTATCGCAATTTAATTGTAGCTCTCAATAAATTTAATGAACTTAAATTGTTTTCGGGTTTCATATCAAGTACAAGCAATTTTTCAATAAATTTACATCATTTCTATTCTACAAATTTTACGTCTCAAATATAATACACGTCAATATTTAAATGAATTTTTTAATCATTTGGTTTCAAATTGCGTTGTTATCAATTTTAGAAATGTCATGTGCTGGAATTTCAAGCTTGTTAGAATGTTCCAAAAATTGCCATACAAACTATGATTTCAATCAATTTTGTTGTATGACGATGCTCTTGGAACCTTCCGCTTGCTATGCTCAGTAGCACAAACCAATTGGTTTACTTTTGGTAGCTAGGGTATTGATTATTTACCATTTTTTCAGTAGGTAGAGGCGATTGTGCAGCAAATGGATCATTTATTTTAATAAGTCATTGTAACTCCATATTTATAAACAAAATGATCGTTTAATTGGCGGATTTTTACAAAGTGAGCGGGGTTGATTTTGATCACTGCAATATTTCACTACTTCTCACACAAAAAAATATCAGTTTTAATCACAAAAGAAAGAGTTTTTGGTTTAAATTAACCGAAATATTGGATGAGACTTAAATTCCAATATTTCAATGAGACTTGAATTTGTATTTCAAGTCAGTATTCGATGATAACAAAATGAAGTCACTTTTTTTTCGCGCGACGATGTGATCAACATGAGTCACGCGTATTACAGCTGAAATTGCTATGTAGCAGAAGAAAGACAGTCAAAAACAAAAAGAAATCTTTCGATCGATTTTTCTTGCATTTCCGATGGAAATATCACGAAAATAAGTACAGTGAGTCATTTAGATGACTTGTTCTGGAAGTGAATCCTATGGAGCAGGTGGAATAAATAATAATATAGTCCGAATTAAAGAAAAAACAATAATTTTAATCGTGAATTTTTGGTAGAATAATTTTTCTTTACTTCAAATCTTTTATTTGTGATGCGAATATTGAAAATGATGAAACCTTGAAAGGCGAAGGTAAAAAGCGAAAATAAAAAAAAAAGCGCCCGAAGGGGGACTTGAACCCACGACCCTTGGATTAAAAGTCCAATGCTCTACCGACTGAGCTATCCGGGCGATATGTAGAACGTTGCCAATTTGCGTTTCGGCCTGCCGTAAAGCTTTAACCACATCTATCATTTCGATCAATTATTTGATGATTTGGCAAGTAATGCTGTAAGTTTTTTACACAATGAGCTTGAATTTTCCAACACATTCGTGTGATTTCATCAATAATATTTCAGGTCAAATTCATGCATGCTTCGCTACTGATTTGTTTTAATCTTTCAGCACAATGTATGTTTTTTAATTGCATGTATTTGACCGATATAGTAAGTTATCAGATCGAAAGCTAGCTTCCGTATATTTGTGATTTAATAATGTGATTTTTTTTTTCACAAAAAAGTAAACCCGATTTTAGTTATTTTAATCAATAAAATAGTCGTGTCATATACGATGGCATTATCAGATCAGGAATTTATGAGGCTAGTAATTCGTAGCTTCCATATTGTTATGAAAAGTGTTGTTTTATCTGTAAAATCTACTTCAATTACGTAGTGGAATATAGGTGACCTTGAATTGCAATCACGAAATCTGATTGCACATTTTTTTATCATGCTACGGCAAAAAGCTCATTTCTCAATTGATGCATGCACATTTTTATTGTGTAATCACTTTTTGTAGTCAGATGTTATTAGAATGTTACAGAAATTAAGTTAAAATTGATTTCATTCACATTCAGCCACCTGAAAACATCGAACCAAATTCAAAATTGTTTTTAGATTCATTAAACATTTCAGCAAATGTTCTGTATTGTTATCGTTCGTTCAAGTAACCAAAACATACCGAATTGTGAATTACAGCAAGCAATTGCTTGTTGCCCTTGTACACACAGAGCTTGTATGTCATCTCCGCCAAACTCCGCACAGTCCCGCCATCGTCAAAACTACTCCGCAAATGAATTATATGGGTTTTGATTGATTATTTGATGATTTGGCATTTGATACTGTAAGTTCTTTGCACAATGTGCTAGAATTTTTCAATTTATTCATGTTCTATCAGTAATATCTCAGGGTAACTTCAGTCAGGAGAAAACAATTAACGAAAAACTTCAATGAAATGAACAAATCAATTAACTTAATTATCTCTCTGTGTTTAATTGTTGAATAAGAAAATGTAAATGAAAATATTTGTATATCAAACATCGCAAACTAAATTGTAAAAACATTTGAACGGTATAGCCTTAAACATGACCTTGAAAGCTCAATTGAATAATCAGATTTCTCCACATCTGCTGTAAATATAATCAATTCCAATCTCTAATTTGACAGATTAAACCGTTGAATTGTGGTTCGAATTAAACAGAATAAAAGAGATCTTAAATATTATTTAACAGCAAATACGTTTAAGTTCTTTAATATTTTATTTGAAACACATTTTATTACAAAAAATAACAAAAGAAAATTATTTTATTTTAAAGATATTGGTTTCTTATTCCTTCATACATTTGCATGTTAGGATTCATATTAAATATGGCAGAGAAGTTAACAATTTAGCAGAAAATCGGAGTCTTTATCTAGAAATCGAAATTAAACAATTTTTTATTGCAAAACGTCCTTTTCAGATTAAATGAAGCACTAATAGTACTAATTTCACTCGGTATCTTATCATCAATGTTTTTAGTATTCACATCAGCGCCATGGTCAATCAATAAATTCTTCGTTGTCTGGAAAGTGAATAAAAAACTCGATTTAAGCTTGATTATTCTACATTTCGGATGAAAGTGACTTTACATTTCCTATAAGTTTTCGAACATTCTCTTCTTTTCATTTAAAAATGCAATCATTTCGGTTTTCTTCTCTTTTCCTTCCTCTAGAATATTAAATTGAAAAGTTTCGATTAAAAAATGTCTCTATTAAATATAATTTAAAATAAATCATTACCAGTATCCATTTCACGTGGTATTTTATTATTTTTGTCTTTTGCATTTTGATCTGCTCCACTATCAATCAATACCCTTTGCACTTCTTCATTGCCTGAAAAGTGAAAACATATTCTAAATTGCAAATTCTCAATGTTAATTTTTAAATGTCTGGAATCACCTGCATAGTAAGCTATATGAAGAGGCGTCGACATATCGCTAGCTATAGCATTTACATTAGCTCCTTGTGTGATCAGATATTCAATTACTTCCTTATTGCCTAAAGCATTGATCAAATGAGTTTAATACTTTGGCGTATTGATCATACATACATAATGTTAATTATATAAAGAAAGGATAATTACCAATAAAAGTTGCGAAATGTAAAATTGTAGAATTCCCGTCGCCTTTTGCATTAACGTCCACTCCATGTGCAATTAGACTTTTACAAGTGTTCAAATTGCCTGAAATATTGATCAAACAGACAAAGTATTTGAATTTCATTTTTATTCTTCAAAAATTGGAAATTATACCAATCCAGGCAGCCAAATGTGAAGGTGGGAACAATACTTCAGCTCCAGCAGTTATATTTGCTCCATTTGCAATTAAATAATCAACCGTGTCATTTGAACCTGAAACATTAAGCGAATGGTCAGTTATTAGCTTGAATCCAAATAAATAAATTCGATTTTCTGAATACATAGGCAATTACCGTAGAGAGCGGCAGTATGGAGTGGTGTAAGCTTTTCGAAGTCTTCAGCATTCACGTTTGTTCCATTTGCGATTAGGATTTTGCATATTTCCAAATTATCTGAACGTAAATAAAGTAACATTGATTAGCCATGTGCGCAGATAAGAAACTGTTTATTCAAAATTGTGTAAAATTACCGAACATTGTTGCTATATGAAGTAAAGTTGTATTATAATGCTTGTCCATATAATTTACATGGGCTCCACGATTGATATAATTCATATCAGCTCCTTTTTCGATGAGAATTTTGAATATCTCTGTATTGCCTGCAAAAAATATATATAATTTTTATTAACAAATGCTTTATTTTCAATTCACAATTGAAAACTACCTTTAGCAACAGCCAATTGGAGTGGTGTGCATGGATGATGTTCAAACGAATTCACATTTGCACCATTATCGATTAGAAATGTGACTACATCTACTCTGCCTAGATTTGATGAACGGAAATAATTTAAATTTGATATACTGCACTATACTAGTATTGAATTTGTAAATTTCCTTTTTTTTTGAAGATAAATCTCAATCAAAAATAAAATGAAAAAAATTGAAATCCGTTGTGGTCATATGCAATATTGAACCATTAAAGAAATATTCATTGTCTTCAACTAACCTGATTTAATGGCATTGTAAAGATATTCACTGCCATCAGTACCGTTGATATTGTCTGAGAAGTTGATTGAAAACATTGACATAATTAATATTAGATTCGTTACTAGGGATATTAAATTTTCACTATCTGTTTGTCTTCACATAAAATTACCTTGTACACTCGCACCGACGAGAAAAACAATCACAAATAAAAATTTCATCATCTTATTTGGTTGAATTAAACACTTTGAGGGATTTATTAACAAGTTAATCCAATAAATTTAATAGCAACACTATTCTTATAATGAAAGCGGCAATCGAAATGTGAAATTACCGAAAGTATCTTCCAAATAGAATGATTATTTGTTGCGTTTAACCTCCATATTTATAGCAATGACACAAGGTTAAATGACTGTGAATAAACATATAGTTGAGACTGATTAAAAACCTCAATCTCAATATAGTGGTCCGACTTTTAAAATTATCTCAAAACAACCAATTAGATTTGACCACATTTGCTACAGAAAGCCAATTGCTTCGAAACGTTTAAACAGTGATAATAAGACATTTGATTTCTGTGTGTGCGGAAGAGTAAAAATTAAGAATGTTATTGGCTAAATTCATTTAATTAAATGTAACAGCAAAAAATATTGGTTGAAAAATATTGGTCACATTTTTGTGATTTTTACTTTTCCGCACACCCACTGTGTGCAGTAAAGTATTGCAATCACCCCAAAATTTTGAAATCGCTAAAAATCGTTTTTCTATGCGTTTTGGGTATAGAAAATCACAGAGCAACGGTTTTTTGGCCATGTTAATGTGGGGATGTGGTACACTGTACACTGTACACTGTACCCTCTATATTAAACCTTAATGACGTGAAACTTTGCACAGGCTATTGTTTATACAAAAAAATGATATTCTGAAAGTTTGAAGAAATTTCAATCAAAATTAATAGTACCTGCCATACAAATTTTTCGTTTTTGAGAAAATTTTGTAAGGGGGGTACCCCTACTTTTAATTGAAAAGTTAATAAGAGTGTTTTGTTGACTCGAATTTGATCGAATTTCTTTCTAAAATGTACGCTTGCAGTAACTTAATCACAATTAAAACGTGTGGATCTTATTTCTCATCAAAATACATAATTTCACCAAATTGGAAGTAATTTCAATCCCAAATGAAAGTACTCCCCATACAAAATTTTCTTCAGGAGGGAGGTATCTTCAATTTGTATTAAAATTGCCTCAAAAAAATCACATTTTTGGTGACTTTTTCTTTCCGTACAATATACACTCTGCACATTTTGAAATATTTATACGTCAATACTGTTTTAATTGGCCAAAAAACTTGACTGCTCTTAGACAATATAATTCGGTAGTTATTGAATTAGTACTGCACTACCAGTTCGGTAAAGGAAGAAATTTGGAAACAGTGAGGAAAAGTTAGACTTACGGATGTAAGTTCCTTTTTATTTTTAAACAGTGTGGATCGTTTCATCAATCTGCATAGGTTAAAAGCCCAGGGTCCGAGAAATTGTCACCTCCTCTGTTATTGATACACCCTAATGAACAATTCTCAAACGTCATGCAAAATAGATAAATTGAAGAATAATAAACCCATGCTCAATGCAGAAATGCGCGAGAATAATCCAAGCAAACCGCCGCATATAGCCAAAAAACTCCAGAAAATTGTGTGAACTTGTTCGTTGCGACGTTTCCATTTGTGAAATATTGAAATAAATTTAAGAATTGAACTCCTGGAATGATTCGAAAAAGGAATGAAAAGTAACTTTCAATGATATTGCATAATTAAAAAAAAGATTCGCTGCGAACAGGATTTGAACCTGTGCGGGAAGAATCCCAATGGATTTCTAGTCCATCGCCTTAACCGCTCGGCCATCGCAGCTTATATAAGATAACAAATGAAGAATCGCTTATAATTTTACGCATAATGATAAAATTAAAAAATAGACAACCCAATTGCTTTGTTTTTTCTTTCAGTTGTTCAAACAGTCTGATGGATATGAACAGATGGATTTATATTGCCAATGCCAATCGCTTTCTTCATTTCATCTTGCAATGCCAATCACATACCGTGTATACTTCGCTGTATCGATTTTTATTAAAAATTGTAAATAAGAAATGCTCACGATAATAAAAACAATAAACAAATGGTACCCTCTTTATTTTTTTACTTTCTTTTCTCAATTTCAAACAAAAATATATTCGTCTCATATTTTGCTCGGTTAGTTCATAATTTATTCATTCAATGCACACAATGAATTGACAGCTGAGCTTAATTGCAATATCTTTTATATTTGACATTAATGACCACACGTGTGTTAATTAGCTATCTCACTCGCTGCAACTGTTTGCATGCCATCCGCTTTATCAGAAATCAATATGACAGGTTTGCTGCCAGGGTTAACAAATCCCTCTGAATATGGTAAAAATCGACCATAGTTTTTGGTCATTTAATGTTGAAGTTATCGCGTTTATCACAAGAATTCAAATTCAAACCATTTCCAACTTTCAACCCTGTTGGCTGTGGTTCGGGGAAATTGTTATGTATTTCAAAAAACGAAATTATTGGGCATTTTTGATTGAAATTCCGAGTTAATGCATGTGAAAACGATCATGTGCATTGCAATCAATGACATGAAAAATTATAATTAATACTTCTGTTTTGTTTGCGTTGGCTCAATCATTATCTAACCAAAGTAAGCATGATCCAAAGTCACACAAAAATACAGTTGGCTTGATAGTGTTTTTGGAAATTATTTTCTCATTGCGTTTAGTTCGAATAATTATGTTATTTATAAACTTTCGTTCGTAAATTTTTGTTTTTTTTATTTTTGCTATGGCTACAACTGTGAAAACAGTTCTAAGGCGTTTAGCGTGTGTTCGAATGTTGATTACAAAATATATGATAAGGGTGGATAAAACGCAGAAAGAAAATGAAATAAATTGAGCATTAAATTAGGTCTTCGCCACGTCAATAAATTCTGTGAAATATTTTTTTTTTTTTCATATGGCTTAAAAGGAATTGAGCATATTAGTTACAAGATAATTTTGAGTGTGGAAATAGATACAAATCGATATCGACACAATATTTCTATGTTTAACTCAGTCTCTTAAGTGAATTCAGTGCAATAATTGTTTTCAATTTTCCCATCCACTCTCAGTCCGGACCATTTTTGGAGCCAATATGTCATTTCTAGCTAATTGAGCATTCAGATCTCTCCAAAAATCTACTCATTTATTATGTGTGTTGTGTATACCGCGGTACGACCGTTCAAAAGTGCAACGTTCATGTAAACCAAGTGAATCATCGCATCTGCTGTAAAATACATCCCGAAAAAAGAATGAATAGTTGGTGCATGAAATTAGTCTCTGTTGTGTCATTAAATATCTCATTTTAGACAGCAATTTTGATCATTTTATAACGGTAAAAATGGAATATGTTTTTGCGTTTCAAAAATAAATGTTTGGTCTCGCCGGTAGGTTAAATTTTTTTTTACTTAAAAATAGGTAAAGTTAACGTTTATGAATGCTTGGAAATGATTTTTTTATTTCGCAAAGAAAATATTTATAAAAAAAAGAACTCGCCCCCGGGTGGGCTTGAACCACCAACCTTTCGGTTAACAGCCGAACGCGCTAACCAATTGCGCCACGGAGGCTATATCTATCAATACGTTGATCAAAAATTACAGCCAAAACTATTCACAGTGTTAGACTCACAATGATCATTTCTTATTATCAGCATTACTTTACAAGCATCAATGAGATAAGAAGAAAAAAATGAAAGACAAATAAATTGCTTGTTATCACTTTTCGTTCATATAATTTTGTTGTTGTTTTTTGTAATTCTCATTTTTGGTTCAGGAAAATAATGTTGTTTTATAAAATATCTATCTATCTATTTTTATAAAATATTTTTTATCAAATTCGAAGAAATATCGATTTGTGATTAAATTGCAGGTATTGTCAAATCTAAACAAATGTCTCATCAATAATTCATGTCCATTTGTGCATAAAAAAAAAGAAACAAAAATAATATTTTGATGCCAAATTCTATTCAGAGCGGTTCATATCGATTCAAACAAACTAGAACTTTCCACACTATGAAATGAATTGAACCATCAACCTTTCGGTTAACAGCCGAACACGCTAACCAATTGCGCCACGGAGGCCACGATCTATTATTTGATAACTACAGACTAATTACTGGCCATGGACGTAATCATGAAAAAAGCTATTAAATCATTCAACGTGCCGTCAAATCTATAGACTACATAATCTGTACACAAAAGTAAACTAGTAGAAAATGCTGCTGCCGTTGGCGTCCACATTTCTCACTCATAAAAACTCGTTAGGAGCATTACAAATGATTTGGGACTACTAGGAGACGTGCTGATTAGTTTTGAGCAATATCTGTTGACCGGTGTAATTTTTGGTGACACGATGTTTTCATACAAAAATCCACAAAAAATTTCATTTATGTATGAAAGAAATGCCTAAGAAAATAATATTCACAAGTTTTCACGGTGATTTAAGTTACTGCAACCATACATAGACCATAATTTCAGTTTATTCCCAAAATTTCGGTTCCATGCGGAAAAGTTAGCCTCTTTATTTTGTCACGTCTCTTTCTATTTCTCTTCCATTTTCGGGATTTTTTTCTTTACCATCTTTGTTCGCCTTGGGAAGAGAAAAAAGTTTCAATCTTCAACTGAAACTATTTTGGTTTGTTTCACATTAAAATCGCACCTGAACAAACACTACAACTCAAAAGAATAGCACCACTGTATAAGGCTTCATTTTTTTCTCACTTTTACTTTTTTATATACCAATTTGAAATGAGTGTTAACCCTCGCTATTTATATACAGAATTTCAACCGTGTTTGTGTCTAGGGGGCAGACACGTGGAATAGGATTAGACTTTTAGTATAAAGATTCGAGAAATTGCAATGAACTAGCAACGTCTGTGAATGGATTCGCGTGGAATAGCGAAACAGTGCATGGAATAGCAAAAATTGTTTCACTTCAAATCCATTTGACATTTCTTTTGACGTTTATTGATGGATTAGTGGAATGGTGCGGAATAGCAGAATTAACATTTTTGACGAAAACAGTGCATGGAATAGGAAAAATAGTTTCGATTTCACATTTGTGTTTTTGGATTAGTGGAATAGCTGGATTAGTAATTTATATAGTGGATTCGGAATTTATTCTTGGTGTCTCCCCCCTAGGTTTGTGTGGATTTGAACTATGCAAACATGTGTTGTTTTTCACATTATTTTTTCAATTCGTCTCTATAATATGAAATATTTGTAATTTTAAAATTGTTGCGCGGAGTCGTCTTGAATAATTTATTTTTCAGTTTTTAGAAAAAAAATGTCATAGTCAGTTTATAAGCAACTGATGATTAAGTTACATGTCACCATGAATTTGCTGCGTAAAATGTTGAATGCAAAGTGTGTTGTTTTAATGGCATTTGTAATTTGCGTCGTGGCAACTGTAGCTGATGCGGTATTTGGAAAAGGGAAAAAACCATCCAGTAGTGATCCGGATATAATTTGGGGTGTATTCAATGCAACGGACATCAATGGTAACGATATTGTTCAGTATACAATTCGAAATATACCAAAAAAAAAATTTGACCAAGCATTGGACATAATGATAAACTATTACTTGACCGACGAACCAATATCGGTGGCAATGGGTATGCTTACGCAAAAATTATGATTTTAATTTAAATTAACAAATAAAAATACACTTCAGGTATAATCAATGACAAAAATGTTGTAAAGTCATATCGGAAGCAATGGCTAAAAATACTAAAAAATGGATTGTCAGTGGCCTGTTTCAAAAGTGGAACCGATGAGATCGTTGGAGTACAATTGTTACAAATAGAGGTATGAAACATTTCAATTGCATTTTAAACAAATTCGAATATACGTGTCGTTGCTGACGTAAAACCCCATAAAAATCGGGAATAAATGTTCTTCATTCACTTTTCAGTCGAAAAACTCAGGATATTACGGTTTTGATCTATTTGAAAAATATAATGTTACCAAATTTTTGATCGACGATGGTATGGCCGTTGTATCAGCATATCGTGGCCGTAAAATCGGAAAACAATTACTATTAGCAAGAGAACCAATTTGTGCGGCTCATAATTTAAGGGTGACGTCAGCTATTTTTACATCCACGTATTCACTTGCAATAGCCATTGATCTTGGATATGAACTTAACAAACAAATCGGGTAACTAACTATTCATGAAATAATTCCATTTTCGATGCTAGAAATACTAACTTTTTTGCATTTTTAGATATGAAGACGTAAAGCTCTACCGAAAATCATATTTGCCATATATCGATGGTGTGACCATGGTTCTGATGTCAAAGCAATATTGAGGCACAGTCGCTACATAATTTCATCTGATAAAAAGAAAATGCGCACAAAAAATGTTTAAACCAAATTAAACAATAAACAATTTTTATCAGAAAAAATCCATATTTTTTAACTGATGACGGCAATGCCATTCAAGTCTGAGTGAAAATTAAAACACAGCACTGTAAACATGTTTTTTTTTAACTCTTCTAAATTTAAATTATTCAAAAATTCCAAGAAATGATATTCAAATCGCAGGAAAGATTAGTTATAATTTCGCACTCAATCGAATATTGTTTTTCAGTTGTGACTGTGTCCATTTGCACAAAGACATTTTTTACTTGCAGCCCACGCCATCTGTTTAGCTCTTATTGATATTAAATGTTCGTCATCAAATGTTTCCGCATATTCTGGGCAGACGCAATTTTTCGGCAGACGATTTTCTTCGGATCCGATGATAGAGGAATGCTTTCGCACATTGTCCTGGCCGCTTCGATGTATATTGGCGCCAATTTCTTCACTTCTTCCATCTCTTTTTTGAATTTCCCAGCTAATTCGGCATGGTCCATGATTCATCGCTATTTCTTTGCAAATTTCAACATTCAATTCTCGTATGGCACCTTGTCGCTCATTTATTACATGCATTTGGTCACGAAGAAAGCTACTTGCATTCGTTCCATCAATTTTCATGGCATTTGGTACCTTTGATGCAATTAATTTAATTGTGCTTCCAACCACAAATTGAGGTGTTGATTTTTGAAATCTCATATAGATCTGTGTGATATCAGCAGTGATGTCAGTCATAAACTCCGAAAATGGTCTCAATTCAATATTTCTTTTAACTGCTTTCGCATAGATCCTCATCACTAATTCAGAAAATGTTGCTTCTCCTTCTTCATCGTCACTATCCGCAGCATTGGACACCTTTATTAACAACATTTTTTGGGTTAAGTTTTTTAAGCGCAGTTTTTAAAGAAAATTTCTCATCTGAACGAACACCAAAACCAGCAAAAGATATAAAAATGGCTTCATTTCAACTGATTCAGGTACAACTGAAGTTGGCTTCAGAACAAAATTATTCTCCTTGTTATAAACACAAGCTATAGCCACATTGGGTATGTCATAATTTATCGACGTATTATCAAAACAAAATTATTCGAATTTTCGTTTATCAAAATGGTTTAAATTTTAAAATTGAAGTAATTTAATAATTATAAATTTTATTGTGAACATTTAAAGTATACTCATCGCTTTTCAATTTAAAACACATTCCAAGTCAAACTTGTTTTGGATTATATTATTGAAAACAAAGAAATGAATACAGTCATTTCATTCAGAATGTTATTTTGTTACCTTGTTTAACAACGCCCCACTAATTTCTGCTAAAATTCAGAATTTTATTTTCAAATAAAAATCAGTATATGAACTCGCAGAAAATCATTTAAATAAAAATTAATGTGCAAACATAAGTCGCGTAACAAGAATTGCTATCGTGATAAGCTATGACTAAAGGTGTCAAAAAGAAAATGTCAAAATTTTCATGTTTTGACCTCATTTTTCAAAAGTCGATTGGGCTGCAATTTGCCATGACACCTTTTGCCATTAATCAGGAGAGAGCAGCGTGCCTTCAAAGAAGATGTTTCCTTCAAAATGTTCATTTTTGTTATTTTTGGTATTTTCACATATATGACATTTAAAACCGTTCAAAACACGTCACTTTTTCAACCAATTTTCTACGGCAAAGTATCCTTGCATACCTAATCTGTGCATCAAAGTCAACTAAAGTCAATTCTATAGTGGCGGTGTCTATCTCCGATCTAAGCTATACAAATTCTTTACTGATAAAAATTTACTAGAAACATGACGAATGAATAGATTTTCTTTGAGATCTAAAAAACAAGAAAATATAATGTAACTGGCGGTTAAAAATGGGTTTTAATGTTGAATGATACATACAACATAGAAGCATTCCAAGTTAATTTTTGCAAATGGTCCAATCGCAAGTCCAACTTCGTTCTGTTTTTTGTGAATCACAAGCATCAAACTTTTTTTAACTTCAGCGGGGAACAAATACCAATTGGTGTTTTGAAATACCTCACCACTGCCATTATTCTGAGAAAAAAAAGAACATTTTTATACTCGTATCTAACCATTGGATTTCATCAAACTATTTTTCGTGCAATTGTTTAATTAATTACCTGATAAACTTCACCCAAAATACAGATGTAATAAAGTTGTACATAAGAAAGTACACCCAATGCATATCCGCCAACATAACCGAACTACAATAGAATGAACATGAAAAATATAGTAGATAGATAGAGTTGACGGTTGTACCAAGGGATCACACATGCACGTCGAGGCTGGCTTTGCGTTTTGACCCCCACCTGAGGCAAATTTTTACTTGTTTCTCTCATACAAAATTGTTATTTTCATTTTTCCACATAAATACCTCCCTTCCAAGCAGGCTGTGTGTTCTGTATAATTTCAGCAGGCACTGCTATTTCTAGCACGATAGCTATGCTCTGCCT